CCTGTTTGGCCTGTGAAGAAGGTAGCTGGATCTTGGAGAATGACTGTAAATTATTATAAATTTAATCAGATGATGCCTCCAGTTACAGCTGCTCTTCCATATGTAGTATCTTTACCGGAACAAATCAACATAGCCCCTGACACCTAGTATGCAGCTATTGACCCAGCAAATGCTTACTTCTTCCTACAAACTGGCAAGGAACACCAGCAGCAATTTGCTTTTAGTTGGCAGGGCTGACAATATAACTTCAGTCTTGCCCCATGGCTACATCAATTCTCCTGCTCTCTGCCATAATATAGTCCAGAGAGATATTGAGCATCTCCACCTTCCAATCAGTATTGAGTTGGTCCAGTACATTAAAGACATTATACTGAGTGGATCTGGGGGCCAGGAAGTAGCATATGGGAAAAAAGAGCTATCAGAGTCAAATATAATTTATACTTATAAATTTTGAATTGTGAAATTGTTTTAAATTTTTCACCTACTTATATAAGTTCTCATCAATAATGACTACCAAGTGATCTTTGTTAAACTGTCTTGTGGAGTTATGTGGAGTAACATGCAGTCATTTCAATCATAAAACCCTACATTAAAAAGTTATGTTTATAGAGACAATCTCAGGTTTTTCATTAAAATTTTGAGACTAATTTATTTGGAAGCTTATATATAAATTCAATATTTATTATCATCCTTGATATGTTTATCTTATTTTTCTCATTATAATTATATTATGTAAAGAAAACTTTTCTCACCAAGCCCATCCGGTTGCCTTCAAATCCCCTTTAATTTATCCCAGTGTGCTATACAAATATCATTTCTGTGAATGTCATGATATGAAAAAAGGTTGAGAAGCACTGCTTTAAACTTCAGATCAGGATTCTTAACCTGGGCCCTTTGATGAATTTTGGTGAGTGTATAAAATATGCAAGTGTATCTTTCTGGGAGAGATGGTTAATAGTTTTCATCAGGCTCTCAAAGCTTAAGAACCAGCTGATGTCAGGAATTTCATAAGTTCCCCTATAATTTTCACCCCCGAAGAAGAAGATACAAATTAAGGATTAACTGAACTCCAACAGCACAAATAGGTCTCCATGATCACAGATAGGAAGAATAAAGGTGCTATAAATGGAACTAGGAGGACTTTTATCTCTTTGACTCACTCTTGTGGGAATCCTGCTCTTGGTCTCTCTCTTTTCTAATTTGACCAGCATAGTAAGAGGTTCTAGGGTTTTCTCTCTATTTGAAGTAGAGACCTCCTCCCTCTGGTCACCTGAAGACCAAGTAGGAACCAGGGTGGAGCCCAAGGAAGAGCAGGCAAAGAGCATAGATTTCAAATGCTCACATGGGATCCAGCTCAGCTCACAAAGCAGCTATACTGGGATCTGCAGCCAAAGCTTGAAAGCCAATATCATAAAGCCTCCATTTGCCTAGACCTTCTCCTCTGTGTTTCTAAAGCACTTTGTACATATCTACATTTCTCCTATATATGTATCTCCCTTGGGGCCTAGCAAGGTGGTGACCGAAGCCACAACACCACTACACCCTACTGTCATCGTGTGATGTGGTTTTCCCTGCTAACAGGCTCTGAGCCTGTTATGAGAGGTAGATAGACTCTTATTTTGTTCTTAAAACAGTGTTTAGAATATAACACACATTTCAATATTTTCTCAATTAAGGGTGAATAAATTAAAGAACATGGACCAATAATTTATAAATCTCAGTTTCTTTAAAAACTCATATACCAGGAAGAGATATTTCCCCTGTAAATTAATAAATTAACTTCCTGATACAAACTTAATATGAATTTGGGTAACTTGTAATCCCAATTTTAACCAGGATTTTATCACCTCAGATATGCTGAATAAAGATATTCTATGGCTACCTACAGATGAGACATCTTAACCACTAATGTACTTCTCCTTCTATTAAGAATGGGCATGAATCATGTCTTTATCATTCTTTTTGTTCTCTTTTTTGCTTGATGCTATTTTCTACACATAGGGTACACTCAGCAAAAGCTAACTGAATTTGGAAAAAAACTTTTAGAAACTAATAATCTTAATTACCTTACAGGGCTTTACAGTTTATACTGCATTTTCTATACATTCTTTCATTTGATCACAAGAATCCTGTGAGTTAGAGCTTCATTGTGGAAACGAAGAAACTAGAACTCAGAGTTTAAGCCATTTGCTGAAGGCTTTAGAGCCGAAACTAGAAGCCAAGTATTCTGCTCCTTCCCACTGTAAGATTAGTGGAATTGTCTCTCATCTTCCAAAAGAATTTCTTAAGGTTATATTGCTACACAAAAGTAGATAGTGTTTCCTTCCCTGAGTAAGAAAGTCAACATATAAGTACATTTCTAAGACCTACTGACTTGAATACTACTTTTTCTAGAATGATACTTTGGTTTATAAACCACATGTGTTTCGTTTGAGTTCATTCAGCTTTCAGCTATGTATATTTCTTGAAACGAAGGGAAAAAAAGGAAGAAGAAAAAAGAAAGGAGAAAGAAAAGAAAGAAGGAAGGAAGGAAGCTTCCTGTTTGGTCTTCTAAAAGCATTGGTTCAAAGTTCTTACTTCTGAACTTTATCTACTCTTTTCCTGTTTACCAGGTAGCTATGGGAAAAACACAGTCAAGATGGTTTAATCTGTGAACCATACATCTTTCATTTTGTCTCACAGGCATTCTTGACCACCACCAGGGGGCAAAAGCCTACCAGCTGGCTCCTCTGTAATACATTTTCTACCCAGGACAGTACAGTACACAGGGACCCTCAGTGTCTGATTCTTGATGGAGCCTCCCTGCTAATTATTTCAACCCCAGGGCCCCAGGGAAAAGAACAAAGGCTCAGCACGGAGGGCTCTAGTGGCACTTAACCATACAGAAGCCAGAAAGAGCTCATCAGCCCTGTCAGTTTTAAAAGAAGCAATGGGGTCCTAGAGTTTGAGTGGCAAACAGCAGGAGGTGGGCTTTAATAACTGCAAACTCCCAAATGCGTCCTCTGCGGCTTTGACATGGACGGTGGCATTTACCAAAGCATCCATTCACATCGAGAAACAGCTTTGTCGATTCCCTTTCTCTGTGTAAATAACCAACGGTATTTGCACAGCGCGATCTTTCCCCCTTTTTAATCTTGATTTTTCATTACGTTCTTGGCTTAATGTCCTGCTGACGATTTATCTTTTAGAAACGGATTCCTTTCAACTATTTAAACTACATTTCACACGTGTCTATGAAATAATGAAATCTAGAGACGAGAAGAAACCTCCAGAAGCAGATCCTGTTTAAGAGACTTTCTTCCCAGGAGGAAGCAAGTGGGAGGTAAATGGCAGGTTGGACCCTTAGAACCAACTCTGAGCCCAGCCTTGCCGGCCTCCCAGGCTCACTCAGCCTCCTTTTACCTGAGGAATAACGAATGAGTCCTCAGACAGAGGCCAGGGTAACAGGGGACACATGAGGGTACCACGAAGCGTCCCAGGGTAGAAAATGAAAATCTTTCCAAAAGTCTTGTCATAAAACATGGACTCTGCAGCCGAAGGGTGGGAAAGCTGAGAAAAAGCCCGCGAGACCGGGTCAAAGGGGGGCGAGGGGGGCAATTCTTGTCCTGATCGCGCCGGGAGGGTTTCCAGCTCAGAAAGTCCCACCCACACTCTTATTCAGGAACGTTTGAGTCCCCGCGGAGCCCTTTCCCACCAGAAGACGCGTTCGCGTCAGGCTTTCACCTCAGCTTCTTCTCACTAAGGTTGCTGAAGCTGTGCGCCCCACCTCATAAAATGGTTATCGTTGAGGAGTTGGGGCTCCAGCGGCCCCCGCCCCGCGGCCCTTCGCC